TCCTTTAAACAACACAGAAACCACCGCTGCCAGGAAAGCTCACCTCTGCCGCCCCAGGGGCAGGAATGACTCGCACATACTGCTTGTTCACCACCTCCAGTCGGTCCACCTGGAGAGAACAGCGGAGGTGAAAGGGGGCCTCGGATGTCTTCCCCTGGCCCTTGGACGCGCCCAGCTGGGGCAGGATGCTGCTCCCAGCAGTGAGCAGAAGAGGGGCCACTCCACACCACTGCGAGGGCCCACAGGGATGTGAGAGCAGAGCCCGCTACTGAAGACCAGGCCAGTGCTCAGGGCCCTGTCTGCCCAGAGACACACAGTGCAAAAAGGCACAGGGTCTGAGCTGTTATGGCAACAAGGGCAGCGCTTGTCTGTTCACACCCAAAGCAGGTGTGGGTTACACAAGTAGTGAGAGTGAACCCAACATGAGCTCCTGGCCCTGTGGTCAGTCCACACAGCGGGCACAGCGCACCCCAATGACGACCCGGCTCCGGGTCCTTTCTGGAGCAGTCGCACCCACGGTCTGTAGCCTGGAGAGGGAGCAGGAGGGCTCCGCACAGCCCGAGGCGTCTTATGGGGTGGGGGTGGGGGGCTCCGAGCTCTGGTGCTGCAGCCCAAGGGAGCACAAGGCAGAGAGCTCCGGGCTCGGCCTGGCCAAGCTATATTCCTGGCTTGGGACTTGTCCAAAGGAGACAGCAATGATCAGCCACGCAACTTGGTCGGGGAGGGACTTTCCTAGGGACATCACTGAATGGGGAGCATCTGGGAGCCAACCTGTGCTGCGTGTCTCTCCGTGAAGCCCCCCAAGAGTGGAGGGATGTGCACAGTGCTCCCTGGCCCCAAAGCAAGGAGCCCCTCTGGCGGGGAAACCCATGATCAGCAGTAATGGGAGGGGCAAGTACAGGCATCCTGTCCCGCAGCCCCAGGCCCAACCCCCCACCCCCACCCGGCCCAGTGCACAGCCTCTCACCAGACCGCGGGCCAGGTAATACTGCACAAAGTGCTTCCAGCTGATTTCTTTTCCGGGGTCTCGGAAGTAGAAGTACAAGAAGCCCGTGGCCAGGCCAGCCCCCAGCACGGCCAGGCTTCGGAAGTCCTTGTCATCCCACGGGAGCTCGCCCTGCCAGGGGAGTGGGGAAGTTGGGGGCTTGGGTCAAAGGGCAATGAAGAAATCCTTCCATTGTTCAGTTTCTCACTGGCTCTGCCAGGCATATGAGACCCGGCACGGTGCCAACCTGTGGAGGAGATGCTGAGCAGCCGAGTGCCTCTCTCCCAGCTCTCAACACCAGGTCCTTGAATCTGACCTTCCAAAAATTAAACCTTCCTATAAGCTCCCTCCCAAATAAGCAGTGCGCTCACACCGGCGGGGCCCTGCCGCAGCCAGGCCTGTGGCCTACCTTCTGCAGCCGCCTCCACCAGTCAGCACCATCCCGCCGGCCGCCTCTCTGGCCACCATCGCCCCCGAGCCCAGCACCCTTGGGTTCACCAGTTTCTAAGAGGAAACAGGTTGACTTTAGAAAGCCAATGCATATAACTACAGAGAGAGGAGTCAGGGGCGCAAGGCCCCTCCTCTCCCCCTGCCAACAGCCAGGGGGCCTTCTGGAAGCACACAGGGGTGGGGAAAGGAGGGGCAGCCTTGTCCAGCCATGAAGGAAGGACAGATGCCTAGCACCCCCACCCCTGAGGTGGGGGCTGAGCATCAGTACACACCACAGACCCAGGTTTGGCCTCTGCAGTTGGGAGGGACTACACCCAGAGTGACTCGCGTGGCTGGGCTGGACACCAGGTGCTTGCTGGGCTTTCCCCTCCGGCACTTCACAGACACCTCCTGCCTCCTAGGGCTGGTGCCAATGACTCGCCCCTGAGGGGAAATGGACACTACTGACAAGGGGCTGCTGACGCCCCGCAGACTCACTCGCTGTCCACAGACCAAGATACCATCGCACCGTTTCTGGCTGGCCAGCATATGGGGGACAGAAGGAAGCCTTGGGGCTGCTGCCCGCTGGCACTTAGCAGGGGCTCTCACTTCTTCTGCACAAGTGCCTCCTCTTGCTGCAGGTCCACCGGGAACTGACTTCCAAGACCCCACCTGGTAGCTGGGGCTGAAGTTGGGGTCATGCCTGCCTGAGCAACTCCGAGCACCACCTCACAGGTCAGGTGCTTAAATCACCTCCACCGGCACCCCAGGAGGAAGTGACACACAGTCCTGTGGTGGGGAGCTGGCCATACCTGGGCGAGGGCATCAGGACAGACAGGTCGGGTCTGTGGTGGGCAACCAGATGCTGGCCTGGCCTGGCAGACAGAGGCCAGCTCTGTGGCAGGCCCACCCACAGCTCATTCCGGCCCATCCCCTGCCACCACCTCCCCCAGGTATGCAGGGCTGGCCAACTGACCTTTCTTGGGAGTCACTGGTTTTTCTGAGTCTGTGCTTCTTCCACTCCTCTGGAAGTACTTCTCAAGGCCTTGGGGACAAAACACTGAGGTTGCAATACTTACTGGCAGGGTCACACCGGATAGCACCACCACCCCTCTGTCCTATCAGGATAGCACTCTCCCTCATCTTCCTGCCCAGACTGCATAGCCTCAGGGCAGCTCAGGGGCCCAGTGAGACTGCAAAAGGGGCAC